ATGATGCCAGTATTTTCCCACATTTTCTAGATACTGCACCAGTGCTGTGTGTAAAATGCCATCAAAAAGTCAATTAAGTTTTATCCTTTCTCACCTGTCTTTCTGTCTCCTTTCACTTTTTAAACGTTTCCATGTTAAAAAAATTATTTTGCCCTGCCGTGCTGTTTATTGATGTGGCAAATGAATGGTTTATGAAAATATATTGTGGCATGCAGACGAATCTTTACTAAGAAGCTCACAGAGAGAGATTGAGCTTGTTATTCAACCCCAAGCTGGGAGGGGGAGCTCTTTATTAAAACACTTGCTTGGGCTACAATGTGCCTCAAGGTTCAACAACAGCACAACAGAAGTCACTCATGGTACAGCACTCTCTCTACGAAACAACAACTGTCAGTGACGCTGCACCACGGCGTAAACACAACATTCAAGATAACAGTTAAAAGTAACGTAACCATAAACAATAAAACAAGAACATCTAAACAGCAGCACATGTCCCAAGGCATGATGGTAGAGAACTAGCTGTTCCCCCTACACGCCACAATATCTAAATCTGTCATCAGTATTCAGTAATGATCATGTCTCACCTCTGGTCTTCTCGGTCTTAATTTCAGGTTTTCACCATGTGTTGTAGATAGTTCAGGAGGTTAACTCGACCAAGCAGTCTACGTTTAGAATACCAGAACAGGGAGGATGGTGGAGGTTTAAGTTTATTAGATTGATACATATACCAACAAGACTGTACATCACTGTGACAACAGCGTTTGTTTTCATTCAAAGGCTTTATGGTTTTTCCTTTAATACCTGGTGGGCCGTCTCTAGTCAAAATGCGCGGGCCGATTTTTTGTCCCAGTCCAGCCCTGTCTGACTGTTTGGTACAAATGAGTTATTTGTGTGCATGAAAACACATCAAAGTAAGAAATTAAACCACTGACCGCGAACTCAGAAAAACATTATTAGCAAACAAGGGCACATTTTAGAGCTTTCAGGTTATGAAAATGATGAAAAATGTTTTGTTTAAATGTGTATCTGGTGTCTTTTTACCAAATGCTACAAATGAGCAACAAAAGCAATCCATAAGTCTCATTAAATCCATCTGAGACCTTGGTGATCAGTAACTGACAGTGGATTAACAGAGTGGATTAATAAATCATTAGAAGCAACAGACACATGGCCTGTGAGAGTGCGAGTAAGCCTTTGATTCTCATTTGATTTCATTGCAGAGGACCGATCGAAGAAACAGGAGCTTCAACGATGGAGTGAAGCAGCCCCAGCTCCGAGCAGAAGAAGCAAACAATGCAACAAATGCTCCTTTTATCTGAAACAGAAAGCCTGAGTTAGCAACGTTGCTACCATTGTGATGCCTGTTATGTCTGACTGGGTTTTTAGGTTTTGAAGAGCTAGCCAATGCAAAGAAAGTCTGGTTATGTTGCACACCTGTGCATCTTCTCCGGTTAGTAGTGACTGAAGCTTCAAAATAAGAATACAGTGGAACCCCGACTTACGAATACCCCATTTAACAAAAAAGTCAAGTTACGAAGGCACTTAACGGCAATATTTCTGCCCGTGTTACGGCAAAATGCCCGGTATACGAAATCCGCTGGCTCTGATTGGCTGATCCCAGAAGGCTTACAATGCCCACAATGTCCTCCAAATCATGTGACAACTTGCGCTTCGCTGTTCCACTTGAACAACGTATTGTTGTTGCAGTTAGCAATTAGCCTATCGCTCACTCAAAAGGCGCGATGGGCGCTTCGACTTACGAAAGACCGTCGGGAACGAATGAATGTCGTAAGTCGGGGTTCCGCTGTAAATGGATTGCCTGCTAGCAAAAAAATCATAGATGGTTTTCTCAGGAGGATGAAAAAATGAATGAAAACGAATCTCCAAATATACTTTCAACCTAAGGGACATAATGACTCAAGTAAAATAAAGGAAAATGAAGCATCGTATTTAAGGGACACATAAACAGTAGGTAATGGTGAAGTAACCCTGAAGTAGGAAGTAAGAATCTATTGAGTCATATTAGGATTGAACAGAAAACGATTAATTAATACTGGAGAAACCAGCAAAGAACATGACAAAGTTTAGTGACACTCAATTAAAGGAACAAGTCGAGAGTAATGAGGAACGTGGGAAATTGACTAATAGAGTTTCAGAGCTAGTCATTTCTAAATTATCACTACTTACTGTAAAGACCTGGATCTGCAGTTATTGCAGGACCTTTAACTATCAGGCTCCTTCTGATTCTCTCCTCCTTTGCAGTGTTCAGGCGTGTTGTTTTCTGTGTCCTGTAGTGTAAGGACCAACATAACTGACATAAACGATTAATCCATGACTGTTCCTGTCTAACTTCTTACTGATGAGGAAAATGCCCTCACTCGCTTTACTTTGTGTGCACTAAGCCTGCATGACATGCTGTGATTTTAAGCTAAACTTAGCACAAAAAGTCAGGAAATCTGTGTTTGGCCAAACAAATGCTTCTTGGCAGTAAAAACCTCTCGTACCATTGAAAACCTTGTTATTTCCCCTTACATGGTGCCACATTTGTGGTGAAAATGCATTTGTTGGTTGGGCAGCAGAGTTAAATATTTGGGTTGCTCCCATTAAAACTTCCAAGATCTTCTCTGCCACTGAAAAAACAGCTTATTCTGCTGTTGACTCTTGTTTTGAGCTGCTGATAAAACAGTTTGGCACCTGTGCCACAGGACAACCTCAAGTTGTATTTGGAGAAAGCCGTAGTACCAGCTCCAACTTGAAGGCCAAGTTTTATAAACAGGAGACGTCAGAAACAGGCTGGGAAGTGGGCGTCCTGAGAAGATGAGACCACAAGAAGTCGATTTCCTCACCCTGTCAGAACTTAAGAACCACAGGCAGTCTTCTACAGATTTGGAGTCAAGGTTTGCAGAATGACATAGCTGACGGCTCTCCACCCAAACAATCCAGACCAGACTGCACACAGCCAGTCTCTGCTCTCACAGGGCTGCTACGAGGCCTGTCATTACTGCCTTTCACTGTCAAGTCAGTTTTGCACCATCTTGATCTCAGTGCAGACAGAGATCAAGATGAGATTCTGCAACCATTGGAACTCAAGGGCCGACAACCCTCGCCCCCACAGAGCCGGGTTAATCAGAAGCCAGAGTTCAGGAGAGGAGAGGATGGAATGGCCCGCCTGCAGTCCTGACCTCAACCGTCTAACACTTGTGGGCTCAGCGTGGGTGTGCCGTTCGTGCCAGTGTGACTAACACAACCAGACCGACTCACTTGTGAGAAATGCTGGTAGAAGAATAGGATGCCATCCCACACGTGTGTGACCAGGCTGTGTTGTGGCGGTGTACGGCTCCGCCACATGCAAACGAGACTCCTGTTGGTTAAAGTAATGAGTTGTTAAATTTCTTCAGACTTCAATCATCCAATAACAACACCAAACAAGAGTTAACAGCAAAATAAGTTGATTGGCAGCGGAGAGAGTTTTCATGGGCATAACAGACATACTCAGCTCTGTAGCTGCAACCAACAAATGCGTTTTCCTTAAAACTAAGGCTCCATTTAAGGAGAAATAAACAGGCTTTCAAACAGGGTAAGATTTAGTGCCATAAAGCATTGTTACAACAAAGAAAAGCTCAACCAAGCACAAATGTCCTTACTTTCTGTGCCAGGTTTATACCATTTATACCTCTGTAAATATTCAACTTTGAGTGATTAGCAGCAGTTTGGATTAGACTATTCGTCAGGTTGTTCCAGGCTTGGATAAGAAAGGGGAGCAGTTTCTGCTTTTGAAAATGAGGATTAAGAAGCCAAACCTGTGAGGAGCCAGAGTCGGACGTGATGATAAAAACAGAGACAAAACAAAACACTCACGGCAACAACAGGAACACTGACAAGGATTTATGGATTTGTACGAGTGAGCGTACACAGAGGATCACAGCGTCACACTGATGCTGCTCCTACATCTGAAGAACGCATCGACTGAGGCTGGCTGCAGAGAGCTCGCTCGCTGCGCTGATCCCTTTGTGCTGATGTTGGCACAGGGCAGTCATCCCTTCACAGGAAAGTCCAATATTTGAACTTTTCACTCCTACTCCACTGCATGGGCTGATGGGTAGTCTTACCGCAAGACAGGAGAAATACAGAAATGAGACTGTTGGTGTAACGCTAAAAAAAAGCAGCCAGTTTCTGCCTTTATTGGACTGGATTCAACGTGGAAATGACAGAATTGGGCAGCATCCACAGTCAAAGTATTACTTTACAGATGCTCAAATACACATTTATGTTGATGCTTTAATGACAGCAAGTATTTTCAGAAAGGAGCCAAAGGGGGAAAGGAGACCACAAAACGTGGGCCTTTACTCGCTGAACCAAAAGGCTGGAAGCACAAAATCTAACAAACAACAGAAACTGAAAGAAGAATCCACAAGAAACGGGAAAAGGTTCAATGCTGAGATACAGGTGGGAACATTTAAACACCGATAAGTTTCGAGCAGACAATCACAAATGAGGGGGAAAGAACAAAAGCAGGAAGTGAAACCGCAATTAAAAACATGAGAAAACAAACCTTCAAAGTAAAACAGGAAGTAACCAAATAACCCTAACAAAACAAGACAAAGTCGCCATCATATGTCTCCAGGTTTGTTTCCACCATTCAGTAAAACTATGTAAAAAGTATTTTTGAAAGAGTTTGAGAAAGAAAAGTTTGCTGTTTGGTGTGTCAGAGCTGATCAGGAGGTCGGGTGGATGGAGACCATATAAAGCACCTGACTCACACACCACAGACGCTGGTTTGGATCCAGAGTCCTTTGTGCGGTTGGTTGGTTTAGGCAACAAAAGTACTTTTGTTTGGCTGCATATCACAAGGCCACAGATGCCGTCATTGGTGCGTCCAAGCTCCCGTCCTCCTCTTCCCCATCATTCCTGTATGTCCCAGCAGATTTTAAACTAAACCCTTGAACAAAAGGCCAGTTTGGCTAAGGTTTGTTGGGACCAGTAATGACTGCGGGGCTAAAGTTCACACTGTGCGTTTAAATATGGTGTGAAATAACAGTGAGTGCGATTCCTCTGAATCTGGGTTCAACCTCCGTCAGCAGAGTCAAAGAGTAATAAAGATCCATTTGAGAAATTGCTCATAACATAATAAAATGCCTTTTGATATGCATGCTTTATTTCACTCTTAAAATGTAATTTAACACAGAGTGTTTTTCTTAGGGGAGCTCTTGTACGGCGGCACATCTTGTCCTATCAGACTAATCCCAGCTTAGAGCTGCTTCCCACTGACAGTCCATTTTGATCACATAATGATCGTCTCTCCCCTCGTCCTAAGTGCTGAAAGGAGAAGATATGGCTCCCTGCTGTAACATCAGTTCTTCAACGCTTCCATGCTGTGCTGAATAAAAGCGGTTGTGGTCCTGAAAATGGAAACCAGCCAGATTTGGGGTTGTGTTAGTTAATGCGAGGGCCACTGAGGTTTGACTGCATGTCGCATGAGGCTCAGTCAGGTTTATCGGGACTATTTTAATCAAAGAAAATGTCCATATACACCGTGATGTTTCCACATGTGGCTGCAAAGACTCCACACAGAACAGAGAAGGCATCAGACACTAAATAAGTCAGCATGAAGTCGAGGAGCCGGACGTCAGGCAGCTAAAGCAGGTCAGATAGTCTCAACCTCACCACCTCCACCTGCAAACAGTACAAATACGTTCACAGCTTTGGGTCTTTAGAGTGATGCTTCATACAAAGATTAACTCATTAAAATAACTCCTTTATGTTTCTTTCATACAAAATAATGCTCCCTGTGGAAGCCACCTGTTGGCTTTGGTACTCTGGAGCCAATCAAAATGTGGGACCCTCTGTGGGAGAGCTACACCTGATGTGGTTGTGAGAGCGAGATGGTTCGCTCACTAACAACTATGCAGTGTTGCTGTTGTGAAGGGGCTTATTTTCTTACACCAAACCATGATCCTAACAAAGTTTCTAGTGCCTCACTCGAGAGAGTGAAAGAAAGTAAAAGACGGTGAAAATGAAACAAAACAGCAGTAGGAGGAAAAAGAGCACAACACAAAGGTGCAGACAGGATACAAACCACAGTCCCCCGCCTGATAAGGCTGCTTGTGCCACCAGTACACAGCCAGCCTGCTAATGCACACTCTGCACATCTTTAAAGCAGGGCTCTTATCTCTGGTGGAAAGTAGTGCTGCAGCCTCAGGAATGCAAATGAGTTGCATGAGATTTGTTTGTGAAGTATAAATGTTTACTGGGTTAGGGCATGGATGGGAAATTCTGAGCCATTAGCTGATGCTGCATGGCATGAAAATCAGCTGTTATTAGCTCCTGTGCTAGCACTGTGGGCTAATCCTGACTGTGGCCAGCCCGTCGTTCCCAGTCACTTCCACTTTGTAATGATACCCCTAACATTTGTCTGTAGAATATTTAGTAGTGAGGAAGCTTCAGGTCCGGACTTGTTGCACAGGTGACATCCTGCCACAGTATCATGCTGGAAATCAGTGAGCTCAATTTTGTCACAAACTCCTAGGTGCTTGATTTTATACACCTGTAGCCACAGGTGTGATTGGACCACCTCAATTCAGTGATTTGGATGAGTGAGTGAATAGTGCATTAGCCCAGAGTGACATAACATATTTGGTTTGATGAGTAGTGCCGTCTGTGCAGAGCAGGAGTCAGGACGTGGGAAGTCCGCTTGCTTGCCTTAGCTGTTATTAAATGGACTTTAGAGGGAGGTCAGCTAAAGACTGGCAACTGGAAAGTACTGAGGGGGAGTTCATGTGTGAAGATCAGCTAAAGACGTGAATTCAGTCATCTGAAGCCACCTGATAGAGGTATAGTTGTTTTTTCACCCCAGCTACAGAGACCAAGGCTACATGGTCACAGACAGAAATGGGTTTGATGGATGGATATATATATGATAGCTATCTATAATAACATACAGCCTTTTAATCATTCAAACAGTGTTTTCACTCATAAGCAGGTTTCAAACTTTTCCCTTTTTGGTGAGACGAGCACAGAGAGACTGAAGCGAAACAGATCAGAAACTAACTCGGAGCTCGCTTTCTTTCATAACAGAGTCTATATTAGTGAGCTGTGGGAATACGCTCGCTGGCCTCTGGTTAGTTTGCATGTTTTGCTGAATCACAAGAGCAAATGTACTGCTAAGGCTGTGCATGCCTTATATGTAGCTGTGCAATGAGGGTACAGGAGTGCTCTTACTGAGAAGTTGCATTTTAATCATCTTGCTGCCACACTCAGAGCAGAGGGTTGTCAGTGCACACCTGACCCAGTTATGGTTTATGTGCAGTCTCTCAAATTATATCTGCTTTGCAGTATTAACTGCCCCTTCCCCCTTTTTTGTTTTTAGCTCATTATTTTGCATTTTGATTGTTTTTGTGCGAGTAACCACCACAACCCTTCCGGCTCTGATCTTTGATTAAAGAATAATGAGTCTCAGCGTTCCTTGTTTGTTCCTCCTGGCTGCTGGAGAGGAGATATCATTATTCAGAGTAGTTTGTCATCAAATCAAGTCACTAAAATGAAAGAGCGACAGCAGCTCTGACACCAAGCAAGCCTTAGCGTGAAAAACCTGATGGATGGAAATGAAATTGCACAGTGCAACACACCGCTGTGAACGCCATTACTGCAAAGCCTCCAGCGTGAATTAAACTGACTTAGTTTGACACAATTAAAAAATTCATGTGCAACTGATTCCTGCACCTAAAGAGAAAAATATTCATGAATGTTTAACTGTAGGAGCATCACCGTCTCCAGAGATCCATCGTACCAAAAACATGTTTATTCTCTTTTCCCTCTGTCAGCCGATCTCTTTAAGGGTCACAACACCATCTGTCTCCATCTCCCCCGTCCCTAACATCCTCCTCTGTCACACCAACCCTCCGCACATCCTATTTCACCACATCTGTGAGTCTTCTCCTTTATAACAACAATAAAAATTAGAAGAAACCACAAGGAAACTGCCACATGTTGCACTCTGAATGGCAGGCTCGGACCCAAACGCAGGACTCGGAGACACAACGCTTAACTAAAGGTGGCAGTTTTATTGCTGGAAAAAAACAACTAAAAATAAAATGCATGAATACTAAAGAAACAAACCAAACATGAACTAGAACTAAGAAACTCGCACTGCTACACCATTGAACGACACACAGCAGCGTGGAGGACCCAACAGACAGGGGAAGACTGAGGACTTAAATTCACAGGCAGGAGAGGATGGGACACAGGTGGGGACACAGGTGGGACTAATCAGACAAAACAAGACAAAAGGGAAGCAAAACTGAACACACTGACATACACGAGACTGTCAAAGTAAAACATGACCTATGCGCAGTGACACAGACTTGACCCTGAGATATGAGACATGGAACACAGAGAAGACAGTGTCTGAAACTAGAAGCTAAAAACAACAAATATAAATGAACAGAAAACTATCAAGAAAACTAAAACCATGAATAACGATAATTATGGAACATAAATTAAACAGTCACAGACCCAGGCCAAACTTAAAGCTGAAGCAAAATGATTATTGTCCTTACATTCACTGAATTTGCAGACACACTTCATTCTCTGGAACGAAGAGGCGTTCCTGCCATAGCAATGTCTCCAGGCCTCGAGGGCCGGTGTCCTGCAGGTCTTAGATGTGTCCTTCTTCTTCTTCCTTGTGTTTAACGGCGGTTGGCAACCAACGTAAAGGAGCATTACCGCCTCCTACTGTTCCGGAGTATGGGTCAGACTGAGTTTACAATGTGTATACAAAAAACAAAACAAAACAAAAAACCCTAGATGTGTCCTTGATCCATCACAGCTGATTTAAACGGCTAAACGACCTCCTCAACATGTCCTGAAGTTCTCCAGAGGCCTGTAATGAACTCATCATCTGATTCAGGGTGAGATCTAAAACCTGCAGGACACCGGCCCTCGAGTTCCCCACCCCTGGTTTACAGTTAATGCAGTAAATAAAATTAAATAAATAAAGACAGCACAGTGAAAACTGTTTTCCATGGTTATGATCCACCTAGCAGAAGTGTTCATGTGCACTCAAGGGTGATGGTCACATTCTTCTGCTGATGCAATCCATGGTCACACGAGGGCTGAGGCCTCATCAGGGACCATGGAGTCTGTGGGATTTTCTCTGTGGGTCATTTATTTTGAGTTTTATATTTCCTGTTTCTGTATATTTCCAGGTTTCATAGCAGGACGTGTTCTCGGTTTGTTGTGTATCGCAGCGTCCTTTGTGCGTCCACGTCAGCTTTAGTTTCTGTCTCTGTCTTTTTTGTCCATTTGTGTCACATTAGTCGTGGCCCTCTGTTCTGCTGCGTCTCTTCCTCTTTTGTTTTGGTAAGCGTTGCTCTCCGTGTGTTGTTGAGGTTCGCCTTCTTGTCTCGTTTGGTTAAGTGTCTGCAGCTGTGTGTCCCACCTGCTCGCCCCTCCTTACCTTTGGTATAAATGCTCTCAGTCTCTGTAGCTGTGCTCCTCTCGGTGTTTCATCACAGCACTTAGAGTTTTCTGACCAGTGTGAACTTTCTGTGGATTCAGCAATAAACACTCACTTTATGTTCAGCTCCATCTGCCTCATTCGGAACATCAAGCAACACTCTGCACGGCCGACTGTGACACAGAAAACCATCGTGCCCCGAGCTGCTGGATCTGGATTTCAGGTCTTACTTGCAGGAATGAAGCAATTAAACCACACAAGTGTTTAAACTGACATTTGATTTACGCCCTTTAATGACACTGACGCTAAAGCTTCAGGCTTTCAGCAGTCTGTTTAAACTGCAGAGAAATTCTTTCTTGCTGCTGTTTCTCAGGTTTGTTTCAAACTGAAGCCTCTGGGCTCAAAGCTTCTGGTTCTCTGACGGCTCAGAGCAAAACATGTGACATGCAAGAGACTGGTGCTCTGCTCTGCTCCCACAGATCCCAGCCTGGCTGTCATCTTAAAGTTCAGCCTTCTCCTAGAACACAACATTTCCCCCCTTTAACTCATAGCTGCACACTAAGCATTTTGGGCTCTAAGCCTAATGGATTTATTTATAGCTAGTATGTCTTTCAAAATAAACCCACTCGATGGTTATGAGACTTTCCCGCAGAATTTGCTTTGAGAAAGTCGTCTTTCAGTCCTCATGTGATGTCCGTGAAGCTCTCCTTTCTGCAGACCCCAGACTGCAGGAATGCTCATGGTCTGCCTGCATGCCGGGTGAATGTTTGGTTTGTGTGGGCAGGCTGCAAAATGCACCTCTGTCTCCTTTTTCATGAGCAGCTCATCTGTTGTGAACGCTTCAGAAAGTCCTTTTAGCTTTTTTCTGACCCTGATCTGGCATCTGCTTGAGCACAGCGGGGAAAAAACCTTTAATCAGGGTGAAATATAAAGAAAATACTTTAAAAATATAATCCCTGAAGTCTTCTCGTCCCTCAGCTGTCACAGGTGTTTCGTGAAGTCTTTGGGTAATGACCGTGGCACGGACCTTGTCCCCGCCTGCGCACACCTCTCTACCTGCTTCCATTTACTTCCCAAAATGAGACCTTCTAGTTGCTGTGCCACAGCCTCCGCTATCAAACACAAAAGAGCCACTTATGGCTTTGTGACTGCGATAAAAATGGATTAAACATGTTGTTCTGTCTTGGATGCTGCACTCAGACTTTTCTGGGTGACTGTCTCTTGGCCATCTAAAAAGACAATCGCACTATAATTTGTCACATTTCCAGAGTACAATTCTCAGTGAGGATCAGAGATGGGCAGTAACACGTTACTGTAATCCGATTACTTTTTTCAAGTACCAAGTAAAGTAAGGGATTACTATTGCAAAAACGGTAATTAGATTACCGTTACTTTCCCGTAGGAACGCTGCGTTACTGCGTTACTAAAACCGTGATTTTTTTTGCGAGAATGTCTCACGACAGTGACGTAAGCGAGTGCGCCGTTAGTGACAACAGCTGTGTGCAGATCAACAGTGGATCACATATCGAGTGCAGAGAGAGTATGAGCGTGCAGCGTTTAAAGCGTGGAAGTACTGACCTTACTTTGAGTTTGATTCCATAAAAAGTGACAAAAACATTAGTGTCCGCTGTGCGTGGGAAGAAAACTTCTTTTTACAGCGAAAAACCCCTAAACTTCCAACAAGCACCGAGTAGCTACGACGTAATGGGAAACTCACAGAGAAACTCGCGGATTCTTCCACTGACCGCGGCACACCTGCACCAGGGTAACCCTCCGCCTACCCCGCTCCTGCTTTACAGGTGAAAATAGAGCAACAGGACCGCTGAGTCTTTGACTTTATTTATTTTCTGCTGTGTTTTACTTGCATCTATTTGAAAGACTGAGTGTAAACACAAAAAAAATTTGTTTTATGTGCTGGAATGTGCAGAAAATAGGTTTAAATGTTAAACTAATTTCTTCCAGTCAGAGAATGTTGCATATAATTACATAAAGTTAAAAGATTAAAACTAATAAAACAAGTTTTAAAAAGAGACTTTTCCATTTGATTACATTTTGTATGATGGATTATGCAGAAAGTAGAATTAGGCTGAAAGATCGATCACTTTATCACCTCTTCAGGTTGTAAATCGTGTTTTTAAAAAGTAACTAAGTAATTAATTACTTTTGAAAATGAGTAATCAGTAAAGTAACGAGATTACTTTTTTGGGAAGTAATCAGTAATTAGTTACTGATTACTTTTTTCAAGTAACTTGACCAACACTGGTGAGGATAAAGGTGACTGAATTCTGTAGCTTTACAAAGAAAGGAACAATTTTTCACTTAATATAAAAAACAACATGGGTGCTGTACTGCGATCTGAACGCACCCAAGGATGAGAACAAACAGTTAGATTTTTACTAAATTATTGCAGATGGGCTCTCAGACAGCCAGGACAGAAACTGGATGCAGCCATTTATACATTTATTTAGTCTATCTTCACGTCCTGCAGTCATAGACTGTAAATAAAAGACTGGCAGAGGGAGTGAAGGGCAGCTCCCGGCTGACGACCCTGCAGCCAGCCCAGTTCAGATTTTATCTTCGGTCGATGGCGATTTTCTCATTTTTGCAGCCAGCTTCAGGTGAACGCTCCTATCTCAAACTGAGATCCTGTGCCTGACTCATCACGACAGACAGCACAGAAAATCCTCAAGTTCCAGTTCTGTAGTGAAGCTGCCTTTTAAGGAACTTAAACCTGAAGGACTTTATTAGCCAGCAGTGGGCGACTGCTGTGATTTCAAAAAGTGTCTGTTAGAGTCCTGGTGACTCAGTGGGCTCAGACAGTAGTTTCAGGTTATACTGAATGACAACATCATATTCAAAGTGACCTCCATCGGTTTTCTGATGTTGGGTTTGAACCTCAGCAGGTGATCTTCACCACCCAGTGCATCGCTGCCATTGAGTTAGCCGGCTAGATGTTTGTGTTAACAGATGTACCTAAGGCAGGGGTGTCCAACTCCAGGGCACCCTCGAGGGCCGGTGTCCTGCAGCTTTTAGATGTGTCCTTGATCCAACACAGCTGATTCAAATGCCTAAAGGACCTCCTCAACATATTTTGAAGTTCTCCAGAGGCCTGATAATGAACTCATCATCTGATTCAGGTGTGTTGACCCAGGGTGAGATCTAGGACCTGCAGGCCCTTGAGGCCTGGAGTTCCCCACTCCCGACCTAAGGGGCTGGTGAGTAATGGTCATTATTAGTGTGGAGAATTATCCATTCGGTGCAGCAGCGTCAACAAAACGACCATTAAAATAAGTGTGGCTACTGGCCTTAGATCAGCCATGTGAACGACAGCACGAGTGCTTCTGTTTGCTGCTCTTTGGCTGCGTGTGTGAACGAGCTTCTTGGGACCAGAGCTGAGCCCATTGCTGAGCGTCATCGACCGTATTGGCTAATAAAAGAAGAAACTTTGGACTTGAAAACATCAGTGTCTTAACAGACTGTCACCCAATGCAAGAACATAATGCTGGTCTAGACACGTTACAGGAAACAGATTTGAATAAATATCTCTATGGCTGGTTTCTGTTGGTGCACCTGTTGAATTCATCTTGTGCCACCTTTTAGCTTTCATCCAACTGTAAGTGAATTCACGGAGCTCATAGATCTTCACCTCTGCCTCCATTCAGTTTGACTCAGTGGGCAGGCAGACTCCCAGCTGCCCACTCTAATTTAATGAAGACCATTTATCACTCTGCAGCTTCACACAAAAACAAACTGTTCCCTTACTTACCTTTTTGAATCGGAAAAGTCTCGAAGCACAAAAGAAGCACATGTTTTACTTCCTCGTCCGCTGTGCACGGCTCTGCTCTTCCTCCTCTGACGATTGTTCATTAATTCATTTCACACATTGCGACTCACAGCGACACCTCACATGGCGACACGTTTCACTTTAAACGCAGCACCATATTTCACGTTGGAAGAAATGAGCTTTCCCCCTTTTCCTGTTCGATCGATACGACAATCTGTCAGACCTGCCTCGCTGCTTGTGGCCTTTCTTGGCTTTTCTTCAGGCCTTCCTGTTTCACAGCTGCCAATAAATTACTTTTGACCCTGTGTACAGGAGGCCGCGCTAAAGGCTGTTAATCTCTTCAGATTTATTAATCGAGCAGCTTAGAAGTGTTGAAGGGTTCTCTCTCTAACAACACTCGCTCCCTCACACTCATGATTCTGTAGACGATGATGGCCGTCCTCTTCGGCTCAACAGTATAAAATATTTAATCCAAACTACATTTGTATTAAAGCAGCGCGCTGTTAGCAAACGATGGC